TACAGAGGCCTGATTGCTGCTAGTTTTAGACTCTCAGGAAAGATGCCCTCTCTAAGTGAATTATTTACTATGTAACACAAGACGTCAATGATCGCTGGAATAATCCGACGGATGAGACTTGTAGGTACTTCATCGTCGCCAGAGCTATGTTTGTTTTTTATTCTTTTTGTTAGTTCTAAAATTTCTTTGGGATTAACAGGTTTTAAAAATAGAGATCTATCATTTTCTTGAATATTGATTTTGTAATTTACATGCTGAATTTTCTTCTGTAACTCTGGAATTGCATTGAGTAAAAAAGTATTGTAATTGTTTGCAATTTCTGTAGGATTTCCAGCGATCATTGTGTCATTCACCTGTGAGTTGTTTCCAGTTACTTCTTTAAAGATGGACCACATACATTTATTTTTGTTCTCCGAATTATTTATTCTTTTTTTATAACTATCAGATCTAGCTTTTATTAGTAATTGATCATATTCCTTTTTTACAATGGAGTAAGATTCATTAAAGTTGTTATTTTTGCGTTTTAGCATTAAAAGAATATCTAATCTATTTTTAACGTTTTGTATTTGTTCGTTTTTATGATACAATGGCTTTTTTTTCTGCCTTTGACCCATACTGACTAATTTTTTTGGAAAGTTCTCGTTAAAGATAGATAGAAAAGTTTGCATGAAAACATACCATTGCTGATTAACATCGTTATGATGTGCTTCAAAAACTTCCTCCCATTTTTCTTGAGTTAATAAAGTGAAAAATTCTTGCCTACTCACTTCACTAAAAAATCTTTTATAATAGCTGATTGTTTTGGGGACATGATTACAACTTAACACAATCTTCTGGGCAGCATGATCTGAAATTGTGGTGTCAATTACACAACTTGAAATATTTTCCTCTGCGACGTTTGTAAAAATATTGTCTATACAGCTTTGTGATGATGGTGTAATTCTGGTATTTTCTGATATTGTCGGATATAAGTCGAAAGAGTGTTAACCGTGAGATTTGTGATTTAGAATTGTTTTGTTTAAGAAATTCTATGTTGAAGTCACCAGCAATAAATACCTTTGTATTTTCATTAATTATTTTTACCAAAACAAGCTCCAGTTTTTTTAGGAATAATTTAATGTCACTTTTGGGGGATCTATAAATCACAGCCACAACAAAGAGTTCGTTTTCTAGATTGAATTCCACGCAAGCACATTCAAAAACACCTTCAACTGAAAGATTGTCAATTTTCCGCTTTCTTGAGAATGTTATGTCCCTATGTAAATACACTGCTACTCCTCCATATCCATTTTTTCTACAGAAGTATGATGCTAAGCTGAAGTCAGATATACTGGTTGTCTTCAGTTCATCTACCTTTCTCCAGTGTTCAGAAATGCATAAACATTTGCAGTTAGAGTGCTCTTCAAGCAAAGCTGTTATCATATCCACACAGTTGCCCAATGATTGCACATTTTGATGCATTATAGCGAAAGTATTTTTGTTTCTTTTATTTAAATTTGGATCCGATTTGGTGTGACTTATTTTTACATTTTGGTGGAAGGTTTTATTTAGGCAAAATTTTCTTGTTGATTGGTGGCATTAAAATTAACATATTCGCGCTGTTTTTCGATTTTTTGAAGAAATGCTGGACATTTGGGATCTCGGGCACTATGCATCCTGTCAGTGAGATTTAATCGTTTGCAGTTTGGACAATCTAGGGGTGTGTCACTGGAGCAAAGATTTGGTTCATGCTTTCCACCAGTGTGTTAGGTGTTTAATGAGAAATCGCTCGACACGTCAATTTTTGTTTTTTGGGGGACACATTTTATTGGTATTTTCACCCCCTACCTATGAACCCCTAAGTGGGGGTGACAGGTACCCACAAAATTTCAAATGAAAGGGGGGTCGAGTGATACGTCATTTGATAGCTATTTTCATTAAGATTATATCTCCGAAGTTTCAAGTTGCTACTATTTACCTTGTCAAAGTTAGGAAAAATCAATGAAAAAATGCTGTGTGGTTTTTACCTGTTACCTACGCATAGGTGTGACAGGTAAAAACTATACAGCTTAGATTATCGAATGTAATACCACAAGAGGTTTCAGGATTACCGAATAATACTTTTACCTGTCACGAAACGCGTTACGCAGCAACACAACGACTCCGAAGGAGGAGTGGTGTTGCTGGTAACGCATTGAGTGTCAGGTAATAGTATTAGGTAATCCTGAAACATCGAGTGGTATTCAAAAGGTTATACAACGAACTAAACTTTAATACTTTAAAATTTAAAAAAAATTCTATATAGAATTTGCCATAAATGCCACCAAGCGCGATAATCCCAAAAGGCTTATCACTTTTTAAGCCTCTCGTGTCATATGGGAATAATGTACAGTGAGTTGTATAATCGAAAAAAGCATTTATCCTAACTTTAACATGCCGCCATTTCGGCAGGGTTAATAGTAGCAACTTAAAACTTCGGGGATATAATCTCAATGAGAATAGCTACCAAATGACATATCACTCGACCCCTCTTTCTATTTGAAATTTTGGGGGTATCTGTCACCCCCACTTAGGCGTTCACAGGTAGGGGCTGAAAATACCAATGAAATGTGTCCCCCAAAAAACAAAAATTGACGTGTCTGAGCGATTTTTGATTAAACCTAAGAAAACCTGGCTGGAAAGTTTTTCGTGCCCTTGCCCGGTATATTGCAATCAGAATGAAACATATTATCAAACAATTTACTGCGTGTTCCATTCAGAAAAATACTATTTGTGTGCATAACTGTCAAAATATATTAGTCTTTTGTTTTTTGTTTAACCTCTCTAAAACTTGGAAACCAACCCTACAGTATGTTTTTTTTATTTATTTAAATAACTTCAAAAGGAAAGAAATTATGACAGTTTGAAATAGGGTTGCCAACCGTCCTGCATTTTGGTGGACGTCCACCATTTAGGGTTCATTGTCCAGCGTCCTGTAAGAACTTATTGCAGGACGCCTATTGTACTTAATTTTTAACTTAATGGAGACCACTGTCAAATTAGGCCGGCTGTAAACCTGGTTCTGGTTTATAAGGAAAATCATACATTACTTAAAAATGGAATTTATTATTTTTGACTAATACTGAGTTGAAAATTTTCTGGATCATTTTGTAACTTGTATTTTCTATTGTGCATCGAACACATCAAGGCAGAACTGCAAATAAAGATTAATTATTTTTATACTTGCAAAGAATTTCGTGATTTTGTTAGAGGTAACAGGTTTGTTCGACTCTGTTCTAATAGTTTGCAAACTGTCAGTAAGCATCGCACATATATGTTTTCAATGCCGTCGTTCCAATATAAATTGGTAACTTAGCTGAGTGATTGTTCCTGACAGGTTGCCAACTGTCAAAGACTCCTGTGAGAACAGACCTAACAAGAAGTTAATGGTAGACAGTTTCTTTATCGATGGTTAAGGGATCCTTAACATATTTATTCAAAGTTCTGATTGATGTTTAATTGATCCTGTCATTTATCTAATCAACAAAGATAAAAATAGATCTTCCAATCTATAAAGTTTGAAGTTCTTCTTGAAACACACAAAACAACTTTGAAATCACTTAAGAACACTTGACAACACAAAGAAAGATGAAATGCAAGACCGGCGAACAAAAAACATTATGAATTATTAGTTATGATCAAATCAGAGATAAATACTATATAAACTGTCGAGAATGGAATCTCAGTGTAAATTTTGTTGTCAACAAAATTGAGCCAAGCCAGCGCCATCTACCATATCGGAAAATCACTATTTACTGGTTTTGCATCGATGCTACAGACACCTACTTTACATAGGACTTTTTATGATAGATGGCGTCCTGTTCGCATTACTGTCGGTCTGTTCAAATTCGTTTATTCTAGACTTTGGGGCATTAATGTTTGCTTAAATTAATTGATAATTTATTAATTAGATCAAAAGACAGTTTCTTTATCGATGGTTAAGGGTATCCTTAACATATTTATTCAAAGTTCTGATTGATGTTTAATTGAACCTGTCATTTATCTAATCAACAAAGATAAAAATAGATCTTCCAATCTATAAAGTTTGAAGTTCTTCTTGAAACACACAAAACAACTTCGAAATCACTTATAAAGAACACTTGACAACACAAAGGAAGATGAAATGCAAGACCGGCGAACAAAAAACATTACGAATTATTAGTTATGATCAAATGAATATTTTGGCATATTGTCATATGTTGACATGTCAGTTATCGACATCGGACGTGTTCTTGATGTGCTGGTATTTTACAATTTTGACAATTCTATGGTTGTCAGCGACATCTATAAAAACGGAAAAGAGTTATTATGTGGTTTATCGCAGAGCCTGGGTAGCTGCAAAAAAGAAAAAAAAAAGAAAATAATTTTAGAGGCTGTATCTATAGGTCTGTTCACACAGTAATCATAAATCAATTAGAGCGAATTTCATTGGTTGAAAACAGTCAGAAATCTAGTTTAAACCAATGAAATTCGCTCTGACTGGTTTATGATTTCTGTGCGAACGGACTTTTGTAAGTACTTTTGCTTCACTTTTTATATTCTTCAAATGATTTGTTAATCTGCATAATTTTGGAATAAAATTTTAAATTATTAGTAGAGAATTTTGGTTGGACAGTTTTTTTTTTTTAGTGTATCAGTATGTTTTTTTTTGTTGAATTGTTTATTTAAGTTTGTGAATGGTATTATTCTCTGCAATAAAAAAAATGTCCAGAATTTATACCGTATGTCCTGATATTTCATTACCCTTGTCCAGAAAAATGAAAAAACAAAGTTGGCAACCCTAGTTTGAAATGTTATCAAGATAAAATGACCACCCTGTATTTACTCAAAAACTATAAATCCATGGATTTACTGTGCACCAACTTGATACTAGAGAATCAGCAATTTAAAAAAAAAAAGACGAATTATGATTCTCATCAGTTTTGAAAATTCAAATCACTAGCCAACACTAGGTAAAAAACTAATTGTAATCAAAGGTAAGTTTACAAAGTTGACCCAAATAATAAATTTATTTACACCTTAAACCATTTACAAAGTATTTACACCTCCGACAATATTAACAATCCTGCCCTTATACTTCTCAGACAAATCTTCCTGAATATTCTTTTGCAATTGCTTGGTTTTCTCGACCAGCATTTTAATAACAGGCTCCAGTTTCCTAATTTCTTCACCCATTTCTTCAATTTTCTTTTCCAGCAAATCCTTAGCTGTAACCATCCTGTCAATTACCAATAATTTTTGTTTCAGACTGGCTGTTAGAATATCTACATATTTAGGTGAATGCTTAATGTTGTGCAAATGCTGAATTTTCTTGTCAGACAAATAATTCAAAGCGACATGAACGCAATCTAATAGGCTTGTTACGTTTTCAATGGTTTGCATTTGCAATAATGCAGGCGCGTCTTGCATTTGAGCCATTGACAGTAAATCACTTGAATCGTCGTGGCTTATTTCAAAAAGGCGCATTTTCAGGAAAGCTTCAAGTTCGCTTAAATCGTTTAAAATTTGCGATTGGTATTTTGGATTGTCGAGGATTGTAAAGGCCTCTTCATCGCGTGCCACGCCTCCATCTTGCCCAGATTTTTCCAAAACAATGCCAGATTCTTCCAGATTTATTGTGAGTTCTTGATCCAGCTCTTCATAGTTTACTATTTCAAATGATTCTCCGTTTGACGATGATGAGCCTCTAGATGAACCGTATCCGATTTTTTGTTCAGCAACTGATGGGCTTTCTATGACGATTTCATCACCAAAGTCGATTTCATTGTTTTCGTCACCAAAATCAATTGCGTTATTGTCTTCAATTTCATCGTCTTTTGGAGTGGGAGTCTCATTTAGTTCAATTCTCAAAGGCTTTTCGCCGTATTTGAACTCGTATGTGGTCGTGTTTCCTTGTTGGATTAAATAGTTTAGAGTTGGCAATATTTCAAAGTCAATGTCTTGTCCTGATAAAAACTTATTGAAGGCTGCGTACAGTTCAATTGCGGGCTTGACTATTTTAACTTTTTCAGCAATTTCATCGTGAATTTTTGGTAATTGCTTCAATAGGTCCAAAAGTTCGGACTTGATGTTTTCACCTTTGATTCCTGAAAATAAATAATTGTGATTTTTTCAATTATAATAATTAAAAAAGGTTGCTTACCCAACTGTTCACAAGCTACGTTGAATTCCTTTCTAGCTACAGCTTCCGTCTTATTGCAATCTCTTATTTTCTTCTCGCTTTCGCCTTGGAGCTGTTCCAGTTTTTGCACTTGCTTTTTCAAACTCGGGATTTCGTAGGATACGTTACGGATCAGCATTGATGCTACCTGAAATTGAGGAAGGTTTCATTGAAAATTGAGTCATTTGGAAACAAGCAATACAAAACTCTGAAATTAAAAGTATGTATTTGGATGTAGAAGTAGAAATAAATCCCTGGGAATTTAAAATCATTTTAAATCCCTAGGGATTAAAAGTGCCCCTTTAACAGGGTTGGCATACACAAAAACCTATCATCAATATTAACAAAAACACGAGAAATTATTAAAAAAACAAATTCATTCCTGCCATAGTGACAAATATGAATAAAAAATCTGAGATTTTTCACATTTTTCATTTTATCAATATTGAACAAAATAAAAATCCGGAGGAAGGATAACTACTACTACTACTACTACTACTACTACTAGTAGAAATATAAAAAGGGAATGCGTTCTCAGTATTGTCAGATGTCAAATTTAAAATTATCAGGATTTAAGAACAAAATTATCAGATTCCAAGAAAAATTATCAGAAAAAAATTCTGTCAACTTTTTATCTCTATTTTCATTTTTCGAGTTCAAGCTGAGACTCTGGCAATTGTAGTTCTCAATAAGAGTTTCAAAAAAGGTTATTCAAGACTTCGAGCTCAAGGGCTTCGTTTTCAAGATAATCGGGTTTGAAGCTTTTGCAAAATTTGAGACAAAGTTTTAATTAAGATATAGAATTGAATCTTATTTTATCTTGAAGATAATTTAATTCTGATTCAGAATATATAATTTTACATCATATTTGTTATAATAATAACCGAATAATCAGCAATTTTGTGAAAGAATATCAGAATATTAAAATTTTTTGAGCCCAAAAATTGCAAATATCGTTTTTATTTTTTTACAAGCCTTAAAACCCTAAAAACAAAGTAGCGTAAAAGCTTTTCCACCAATTTTCACTTCCTCTTTTAATTAGTAAAGTCAAAAATTGCAAAATCCAAAAATTTAAAAATTCGAACTTTTCCAATGGGGTATGCATGGAAATTGGATTTTCAAATATTTCAAATGCTTGTATTTTGGAAACCAGTAAAGCTATTGGCATGAATCTTTTGCCCAATCATAGCTCTTAATAAAGGGTACAAAAAAGGTTATTCAAGACTCCGAGCCCAAGAGCTTCGTTTTCAAGATAATCCGCCTAAAAGCTTTTGCAAAATTTGAGATAAGGTTTCAACTTTGAGCCTCAATATCTTCAGAAGTATTTAAAATATAGAATTGAATCTTATTTTATCTTGAAGATAATTTAATTTTGATTCAAAATATATAATTTTAGATCATATTTGTTATAATAATAACCGAGTAATCAGCAATTTTGTGAAAGAATATCATATTAATGAAATTTTTTGAGTCCAAAAATTGCAAAAATCGTTTTTATTTTTTAATAAGGCTTTAAAACCCAAAAAGGAAAGTTCTGAAAATGCTTTTTTACTAATTTTAACCTCTTCTTTCGATTGGTGAAGTCAAAAATTGCAAAGTTCATAAAATTTAAAAATTCGAATTTTTCCAAAGAGGTAGGTATGCATGGAAATTTGATTTTCAAATACCATTCAAAGGGCCATATTTTGAAAACCAGTGAAGCTATTGGCATGAAATTTTTGCCTAATTGTAGCTCTTAATAAGGAACACAAAAAAGGTTATTTAAGACTCCGAGCCCAAGGGCTTCGTTTTCAAGATAATCCGCCTGGAAGTTTTTGCAAAATTTGAGGTAAAGTTTCAACTTTGAGCCTCAATATCTTCAGAAGTATTTAAGATATAAAATTGAGTCTCATTTTATCTTGAAGATAATTTAATTCTGATTCAGATAAATATATAACTTTACATTGTATTTGTTAGAATAATAACCGAGTAATCAGCAACTTTGTGAAAGAATGTCAGACTATTGAATTCAGGGACATAGCGAAGGCCTCTGGTTTGGGGGGGGGGGTGAAATTCCTAATTTTCCCAACTTTTTTTAAACATAAAAAAAATCATATATAGCATCGTACACGTGTTAAAAAGTGAAACTTTTTAAAAACTATTCCCTTCCTCATACAACTTTTAGACATAGCGCATGAGTCGAGGTATAAAGACGAAAGGCTACACAAAAGAAAAACGCGCATCTGTAGTGACGTCACAAGGGTAATGGCGCTTGACAATAATAGGCAATCCACTTTGTTTATAATCCTTGGTTTGTATGAATCGTTCGTCGGCTGTCATTGTCATTGGCTGTCTTTCTCCTTCTGTCTACGTTATATCTTTCTTCTCTCTCGTCTCTCGTGTGCCGAAATTTGCCAAAACGTGTCGTTACGTTAACGTGACGCGTCTTTCAAAACACTTTACAAGAAGTTTCACTTAAGAAAAATCATGTGCAGCGCATTGTGCACGTGTTGGGAGGTGAAACTTTTTAAAAACTATACCCTCCCTCATACAGCTTTTAGACTTAGCGTATGAGTCGGAGTAAAGACGAAAGGCCACACAAAAGGGAAACGCGCATCTATAGTGACGTCACAAGGGTATCTGCGCTTGACAACAATAGGCATTCCTCTTTGCTTATAAACCTTGGTTTGTGTTAATCGTTCCTCGTCTGTGATTGTCATTGGGTACATTCAGGCGGTCCCCAGCGGCTAAGCTCAGCCACTCATCAGGGACTTTATTCTCGAAACCAAGGAACAGTGTTCTCATAAGAACGATTGCTCTGTTATTGTCAGTGTTATGCCGGACGACAAAGACAGAACCTTCGTTCCAATGAGAACGCTGCTCCTCTGTTTCGAGAATAAAGTTCCTGCTGAGTGGCTGAGCTTAGCCGCTGGGACCGCCTGAATGTACCCATTGGCTCGCTTTCTCCGTCTCTCTATAATCTACTATAAATTCCTTCTCTCTCATCTCTCATGTAACGAAATTTGCCAAAACGTGACGTTACGTGATGCATTTTTCAAATCACTCTCCATCTCCATATTCTTGTCTAAATATCAGACCGCCGCCTAAGAAGTTTCACTTCAAAAACTGATAAAAAGTTTGACTGACATGTATACAGGGTGTCCCGGATAAGGATGCAGTCTGATCTCGGCAACCATAAGAGATATAGGGTTGGTTAAATTTGGAAAGAGTTGCGCATTACTGAGCTCAGTGGCGTCATGTTTTGATATTTCGTAAATTCCGAATTACATATTCCGAAGATATCCATGAAAAACCGAATTTTGCCGAAATGGTTTTTATTTTTTTCTGACTTAATTTGAAATGATATCACACAATAAACTTCACATTCTCATTGCTACTTTTTCTCCACTACATGATAATGTTATTAGATTTTTGATCAGACGTTTCGTTTCTTCGCGATCATCATCAACTTTGTTTTTTCAAATGGTCGAGTTTTTTTTATTTTATGCCTAATAAACTCTACTTTTTAATCTAAATCCAACGACATATCAAGCTCATAATTCCAGGAATAATAATTTCCACTAGTGGTACCATTAACGGGCCTCCGCGATCTCCAGACATTACACCGATGGATTCTGAAAAGTCAGTTAACTTCATTCTTAAGTATTTCTCAAAAGACTATAATAATAATAATTAGTCCTCGCAAATAAGGTGCGCAAATTTTTGTCTACCAATTTTTCCCAACTTTAAATTTTTTATCCAAATTTTCCCAACTTTCGATATATTTTAGGAACTTTGGGGGGGGCGTCGCCCCCCCCCCCCCATGGCCCCGTCCCTGATTGAATTTTTTTGAGCCCAAAAATTGTAAAAATCGTTTTTATTTTTTTACAAGGCTTTAAAACACTTAAAACAAAATTGCAAAAATGGTTTTTCCCTAATTTTGATCTCCTCTTTTGATTGGTAAAGTCAAACATTGCAAAATCCAAAAATTTAAAAATTCGAATTTTTCCAAATGGGTAAGGTACCTAAATTTGATTTTCAAATATTTCAAAAGGTCATATTTTGGAAACCAGTAAAGGACCCCGCAATATTTAAATGGAAATTGATTATCCGTGATATTTGAATAAAATTTAAATATGTTATTGGGGATGCTGTAAGCAACATTTTTTACCATGGACACAACCCTGTATATATGACAGGTGAGGCGTGGTTAGCTGTCAAATATTGGAATCTTATATCCAAAAGCAGAGTGACTATGGCAAATTTTGATGAAGGAAGTATCGATGTCTACTAAGTCGACCAAGTTAAGTCGAAAAATGTCAACCATTTTGACACCTGTCAAAACCCTGCCAAACAGCAGCACTTATCTTGTCCCGTTTTCAATATTTTATAATGTTATTTGACATTTTCAACTTGTATGTAAATTTTGAATTCAAAAATTGAAAAAAAAATGACAGAGCTGTCAAAACCTGTTATAGTCCAGGAGGCAGTGAAATTTTTTAGCACTTATTTCCCCAGTTGGTATCTATGAAATAGTTTGTTCTCCTGGTGATACAAAGCAAGAATTTTTGAGTCTGGCTAAAATTTTCGAATGGGTTCACAAGATCAATGAAAAATACAACTACGCTTATTTTCCCAGACATAATTATTTCACATTTACTACAATGGAACATAAAGTATATGAAAATAATAATTTGGCTTATCTCAGATAGTGAAAGTGAGTCTGGCTGAAAATTTTCGGGTCTTCAATTTTTCACTTGCCAGACATATTATTCATACTCACAGATTAGCCGGAAATTTTTTTTATGTAACTTCAGCATACTTCTCATTAGTAGACCTATTTTTATCACTGAGAAAAAAAAAGGCCGTGCATTCGTAAGCTTTATTGCATTTTGCGCCTCAACCCATCGGAAAACCCCCCCTAAAAATATATGTATTTTGCTTAGAATTACTTACCCTACAACTCTATCCAAGTTGTCCGACTGGGAAAATAAGTACCAAAAATCGTCACTGCCTCCTAGACTATTATTTGTTTTAGTAGAAAAAAATACTCTAATCTGGTTCTTTTTTGTTTCAAGGTAGTTTATTGGTGATAAAACATTGAACAGAGTTCATGCATATAACATTTTGACAACTGTCAGAATCTGTTAATAGCTTTTTGCTTCATAT